GGACATCATTTTATTTTAAAGAATACCTGACAAATTGATGATTCTGGCTCGGGTATCTGTTATACAGTTCTTTGGTGGTGAACAAAGTAAGTTTGTCATTTCCAAGAGAAACAAAGGACAGAATCTATTCCCAGTGATAAAATTTAAGCTTTCAAGCAAAACTCGGAAGTTTGGAAAACTTGTGTCCACCACAAGTCTGGCAGCTTTGCGATGAATATTTTTCTGATATGCATGGGGCTATTATTAGAGGTATTTATTTTATAGACTGAAAGATATCTGCACTTGGACTATCTACATAACTCAACAAGCTGATGTCTTCCTAAGGATTCGCACATCAGGTAAAAGAATCATCATTTAAAGTGCAAGGGAGACTGGTGAGTTTAAATGTGAAGGAGCAGGGAAAGTTCATTAATTATTATGGTTTCAGATTCCACATTGCAAGTAACTGTTAAAACACTACGACCTGTCAAGCTTTGGTGTAATATCAAGGAAGAATATCCACAATTATCTGTTTAAGGTTATAAAGTATTTCCTTTTCAATTACATACCCCTGCGAGGCCAGATTTCTTTCATGTGCTTTTATACTTAGGGATTTTGCTCATGTGGGAGACAGAAATACATTGACCTACCTAGATCCTGCCAACCCCCTTCCTTGTGGTTACCTTGCACTTGTCGGAGGCTGTCTTTATTTAAGATCATGTCACAACACATTGGAAGTGGTTTCATGGACATAAAGAAACTTTCTTCATGCGTTCGTGTCTTGTGGTCAGCCACTCCCATGGTGGATAAAGGGGGTGATGTTACTGGGTTGTTTTGTTAATGTCAAAATAATGATAATACTTGTTTCCCAACATATTTACCTGAAGGAAAAGAATTTTTAAACTCTTTTGAGTTTCAAAAATCACAAATCAATTTATTCAGACAATGAATGCTTCTTGATTAATGTTGGTAGTTTTACATTAAGGGCCTACAACGAGGTATATAATTTTAAATGGAAAAATTTCAGATCGTTCAAAAGGATAAAGCAATTAATTCGGTTTCTAAATCAGGTGTATTTCCAGGTGGCCAAGGTTATAAACGAGGACTATAGAGGGTGTCCATACAGTTCGTGTGCAATTTTCAATAGTTGTCTACTTTAAATTACACGCAGAGTGTATGGCCATCCTGTGTTGAGGATTTGTGCCTCTCTCAGCCTCAGCTTCCCCTTCTGAGAATTGAGCGCATGAGACAAGTTGTCTTCAAAGGCTCTTTCAACACAAAAATCTCTGCAAATTCATTTTATTCTGATTGCACACAAACGGCACAGTGGACAGTCACGTAAGAGCCAGCTGGAGTATTCAAAAAGAGGTTTGAAATGGATACTATGTGTCCTTTGCCACAGAGACACCTGAAATTTCACATCTGACGTGTCTCATTTCTGATCTCCTTGCTCATGCCTTAGACGGGAACCTGCGAGCGCCTCTGGGGACGCAGGAAGCTAAAAACTGTCACATCTGTTGTAAGGACTTTGTAAGCGTTCTTGTTATATTTCCCATCCATGCCAATTTTAGGTAGTTTGTCCAAAAAGGATATCATTCAAACGATTTGCATGAGGCTTTCTACAATGTGAGGGGACAGAGAACTTTCTAGAAGCTAGTTCCTCCAGCTGCAGTGCCGTCCAGGCATATTGCATGGCCCACCGTGCACCGTGTGACAGAAAGGGCTGGAGGGGGGCACACCACCCGGGTCACCCCAGCTGTGCAGCACTTTTGGGGAGAGACTATCTGAGTAAATGAAGGCTTTGTGTCTACGTAAGGTACAAAGAAGCTTATGCAGAATTCATTCTTTCTTGAAATGCTTGAAAAGATTTCATTTTTAAATATAAACATTTGTTTAAGAAGAACTTGGATTCCAGAAATCACTGTTAGGATTTCCTGAGATAGAGCCCTGTGGATTCTTTAAATCTCCCCCCTGGTACCTGCCTTCTGACCTCCAGATGGGGCAGTCCACGGGAACACTCCATGAGGACGGAGATGTTCTCACCGTGCTCCTCAGCGCTCGCCCCACGTGGCTAACTGAGCACCTACAGCGTGGTGAGTGTACAGTGTAGAACTTGACTTTAGATTTTATTTGATTTTAATAAAGTGAAGTTTTAAATGTCACATTTGACTAGTGGCTACCACCTTGGCCAATGCAGACAGGATGGACTGGAGGTTAAGCACATGAATATACGAATTTAGACGGCAGGAGTTAAATCCTGTTCCACCCCTCAGCAGCGACGCCGTATCAGCAGGTGATGTCGCCTCTCTGAGCCTGAATGTCCTTGTCTGAACACACACAAGCGAATGCCTACATGTGGATGTTTAGTCCCCATGACAGTCCGACATGAAGATCCCGTTATCATCCTTCCTAACTCACGACACTTACATGCAACGTGATTAGGGACGTGAAGGCCAAGTGAGAGTTTGCTGTTTCCTGTAATCTCCCTGCATCGCCCACCAGCAGCCCAAACCCAGCATGTCCAAGACTCACAAACCTGCCTGGTATTCAGGCCTCCGCAAATCAACAAAAGGCAGCTACCTTCTCACCCCAGCGTCCCCCTTGATACCTCCTGCCCTCCCGTCCCCACGTTCAAAGTCTGTCCCTTTGTCTTCCTAAAGTTCCTTTAAGCCTGCCACCTCCTCTCTGTCCCCACCTCCACCATCTTGAGAAGCCACCTGACTGGCCTCTCATTGGGCCACCCCCTAAGCTCCTATTGCAGGTGGAATCCTGCCCTAAAAACATACTTTGAAATCCTAATCCCCAGTCTTGTGACCTTACTTGGAAATAGGATATCTGTGGATGTAATCACACTGAGATGAAGTTATTCTGGCTTAGGCTGGGCCCTAATCTGATGACAAGAACCACAGAGACACACGAACACCAATTTCATTCTCTTACAACCTCCCTCCTCCGTGGCCTTTGAAGCCTGCCACAGCCCAGAGCTCGGGATTCTTGGGTTCTCGGGATAGGGAGGGACCTGAGAGAGGAGAAAGGTTCCACATCCAGCGTTTGTCACTGCTTGTTGGCTGAATCTGGAACAAGGATGTAACCCTGCAGACCAGAGTCCAGACTTTGTCACCACAGTCTAGACTTTGGCAAGGGCATGGGGATTTCAGAAGAAAACTCTGGTACACATCACAGTGCTCACACACCAGTTTTTAAATGTGGAGGTCGCGGTCAGGGTAGGTACTGATAGACAGAAACTAATGGTTTATGGTATAAACCAATGGAGTGGGGGCAGGAGTGGAAAGGAGCCAACTGGGAAAAATAACTGAGCACCTGCTGGGTATATAGTGCTTTGCCCAGCGAAAGATTTAGGGTTCTGATAACTAAAGACTTCCAACGCCCATCAATCATACTTTCTTCCTGCGTCTTGCTTCTTTGGAATTTGCCATCATTAAACACTGCAGTGTGATCTTCACGGCCTGCCCACACCCCCGGCGGTTGCTGGGCACTGTGCTAATACCACTGAGGACAAGAAAGCCACTGATTCCTGGTAAGAGTAGATGCAGGGAGGAAAGATGGGGATAGGATTTGATTTGCAGATGTTCAAAATCCATGCTAGCCTGGGTTATCAAAACACAGTTCCTCAAAGTACTGGACCACTCACAAGTCTCGATATGGCAAAATGTGGTCAAGAAAATTCTCCAGCTCCAAGCAGCTGGGACCACCTTTCAGAAAGAGGGCTCCATTAGAATGGATGTATTTAATTCAGGGTCTTGCCTCCTATTTTGCCTACAGCTGCACCCCCAGTGCCTATTAAAGTGCAGAGTGGGTGTCCAGTAAATAGCAGTAACACGAGCTCTGAATGAATGAACATGGTCAGTGATTTTCACAATGATTAGAAAAAAGAGAAGGCCACAGACATGAGTGCCCCCTGGCTGAGCCACCAGCCTACGTAACAGAGAGAGACTCTAAAAGAAAATGGTGCCTTGGGGAATAAGACATTGCAACAGGAATATGCATGCTGTAATAAACTACTTGTATTTTCAGGGAGATAAAGGAAGACAAAGGGGTTTTTTTTGCAGTTTTTGGCCAGGGCCAGGTTTGAACCCACCACCTCCAGTATATGGGGCCGGGGCCCTACTCCTTGAGCCACAGGCACCACCCAGGAAAACAAAGGTTTTTAAAGGAAAAATGTGAAGACCATATAACTGTTTTGAAATGATTATCCTTGGCTTCAAAGATCAATATCAAAAGTGATGCCAGTTCAAGACTGGATAAGCAGGTGCCGGGCAGATGTCCTCATAGAAGTATTTTTTCTGTGTTAGAATTTGTGAACTAAAAAATAAAATAAAATCTTAAGGCTCCCCCCACAGTGGTTGATTGACTGGACTGACCCCTCTTGACCAGGAGATCACCTAAATCTGAGTTGCCGGCCATGAGAAAGGAGATCAGACCTGCCTCATCATGCCCCTCCCATACTTAGAGATGTCCTCTGTGACTCATTAAAAGGCCTGAGGTCACGAGAGACTTACCTGTAGGTCCTCTTATCTACAACAGACCAGTTGGACATTTGCCAGTACTTTATTTCTAATTAACAGACCCACATCTTAACCCTTCCTTTCTGGGACTCCTGGTCTAATAGACTAAGCCTAACTCAGCCAATTGTCAGCTAAAGAATCTGTAAGCCCACCTATAATTTGTGGGCCCTTCCTTTGTCATAGCCCACCTTTTGGGGGTCAAACTAACGTGTTTTCCACATATGGATTTATGATTTTACTTATAATTCCTGTCTCCCTAAAATGTATAAAACCAAACTATTGAAAGGCCCATGACTGTGAGTCCACTTGCTCAAGGCTTCCTGGGTGTGGTTCTGGGTCAGGGTCCTCAAATTGGGCTCAGAATAAACCTCATTAAATTATTATACTGAGTATGGCTTCTTCTCTTCCATCGGCAATTTTGATGACCTTTTTGCAAGGTTCTGGTTTTTGCAGAGTATTTTGTGATAGTGTTTGTTGTCGGGAACAAAATTGTGAGAACTCTCTCTCCCTCTCTCTCTCTCTCTCTCTCTCTCTCTCTCGCCTCACCTGTTCAACTTGTCAGAGTCTTTTGTTAACATACACAACCCCATTTTGACTCTGATAACCTTCACAGCACCGAGCCCTTTTATACATTTCCTCACCTAGTCTCACAGCCATTGAGTCAAGTAAATCCAATCATCAGCTCCATTTTTAGGTGAAAAAAATGAGGCTTAACAAGGTTATATCAAAAAAGATACTGGCTGAGCCCATAGCTCAGTGGTTAGGGCACCAGCCACATATAGCAGGGCTGGCAGGTTTGAACCTGGCCTGGGCCTGCTAAACAACAATGACAACTGCAACAACCAAAAATAGCCAGGCGTTGTGGCAGGCGCCTGTTGTCCCAGCTACTTGGGAAGTTGAGGCAAGAGAATTGCTTAAACCCAAGAGTTTGAGGTTGCTGTGAGCTGTGACGCTACAGCACTCTACCCAGGGCAACATAGTGAGACTCTGTCTCAAAAAAATTTAAAAAAAAAGATATGCAGGCTGCTCTCCAAATCAGTTCAGTCTCAACCTCTGGGGGTAGCAGCAGGTATTGAGCTTTTGGGGGCTCCTTACGTGAGCTCCTTTGCCTCACGTCAGAACCAAGGTGAGGACCAAACTCAGGTTAGCCCAGGTCCCCGGCAGTAAGTGGATGAGCCTGGTTTGGACACTAAGCAACACAATCCAGACCCCACAATCTTGACCCTGAACATTGTGCTGCCTCCTCCCACCCTCAGCTGGAATTAAAAGGAGGAAGTGATTGTCCCTACATGCAGAAGGCAAATGGACCAGAACACAACCGACAAGCATTCGCAACTTCAAGTCTGTCCACTCTAAGGACAAACAGAACAAGCCCGTCTCTTCCTAATCCTGATCTCACCGTTGGTTTTCCCACTTGAGCAGGGACAAGACAATTGGTGGGAGGGGGTAGATATAGCTCCACCATCCCCACCCGGTTGCTCAAGTTGTCTTTGATGTAGACAGTTGAGATTTTTCTCAATCTTATATAAAGTGTGAATGGAAGTATCATGAGCAAACTTGTGTGTGTGGATGCAATCTAAATACAAATTGTGTATACTATCTAAGCCAGTTTTATTATAAATCCCCTTAGTCTGCCCCCTCTACTTCCCAAACAGATCATGACCCTTAACCCCCCTTTGTATGAGTTGGGAGCCCCACACTGCCTGTGTGCCGTGCCAAAGACGGCCAGCCCTGGCTCCTAGCTGCACATCCGCCCTTCTTGCCAGTCCCAGCCAGGTCACAGCAGCCCCCTCCTCCTTCCCCTGGTGTCCCGGCCAGGTCACAGCACCCCCCTCCTCCTTCCCTTGGCCCAGGCATCGATCATTCCCTGCAGAGGACCAGCTCACCTGCAGCGTCCCCAGCAGCACAGGCAGCAGCAGCAGCATGAAGGGGAGCCCCTTGGACTTCATGCCGGTAGGGAGGCCTCAGCAGGTGGTGGCCAGGCTGGTGGTTCCCTCTGCCCTGCCAGAGGCTTCTCCTGCAAAGGGTGTTGGGTCATTTGGCCCAGACGTTTTCTTCTAACTTGCTCCTCCCTTCTGCACTCTTCTAGGGATTATCAGAGTGGGGTGGGCTGGGCTGACTTTGGGTCTTAACTTCCCTGGTGACAAGTCCAGTTCCCAGGAAGGGAAGGGCAGGAGATAAAGCTGCTGGAGTCACACTCGTGCACAGAAAATTGGCTGGGATCCGACCTCGGGGAGAACTTGGCTGGCAGAGTGGAGTTCCCAGTGTCTACGGGAAGGTCGCGTATTGTTCCTTTGTTTTCTTATTGGTTTTTAGTTTCCAGACAGAATGGCTGGTGGTCTGTTTCTATAGCAGATGTTTTAATATGATTTTCTATAATCCTTACCCTTTTGAAACAAAAACACTAGACAATGACTGTGAGAAAGGCCCCCTTCATTCAGGGGTGGGGGAAAGAACATGAAAGAAAGAAAAGAGAAAAGAAACGTTCACTTTCCAAAACACTCAAAATGTTTATTTCAATCATAGCTCAGAACTCGGGTCTTTACAGACTGTTTCCACTAAAACCTCCTGTAAGCTTAAAGGACTTTGCCTTTTTGAGTTTGGAATTAAAGGAGAAGGAGCATCCCGGCGATAGGTTGTCTGTGGCGCCCTGGGAGCTTCTGGTTTAGAACCCAGAAAAGATGGACTTTGAGTACACCAAGATGTAAGTTTTAAAACACAACATGATCCCTTCACCTTGATTACCTTAAGCCAGGCGTCCTCAAACTACGGCCCACAGGCCACATGCAGCTGACCTGGGACATTTATCCGGCCTGCTGGGTGTTGCCGCTGCTGCCTGTCCTGCTTAGCAGATGACTGGTCCCAGGGCCCGCAGTCTGGCCCTCCAACGGTCTGAGGGACAGTGAACTGGCCCCCTGTTTAAAAAGTTTGAGACCTCTGCAGCTATTCCCTTGTTATCACATTAGCTGGTTTAAAATAGTAAATAGTTCTTTAACAGAAGAAAGAGAAGGTAAACCCTCTTGGCTTACTGCACATTCAGGGCTCTGTGAGATGCTGTTGGATATTTTAATCTGAATAGTTTATTGCTTTCCTTAAAATTAATAGTCTATTGAAAATGTAATAAATGTAATTTTAAGGTCACTAGATATTTTCAGCACATAAAGAAAAATGAAATACTTTGTGCTTATTTTCAAAGTGATTAGTTTCATAATGGCAACTTATTAAAAACCTTAAGTTAGAATCACTAATTCAGAATTCATAAGTCAGGTGAGCTAAGCTATGTTAAATGTTTGTGGGGAGAAATGCAGTTTGGGCATGGCCTGATGCTAGGGTAATGCGAAGGATTAACACAGTGAGCGAGGGAAGCCGGATGTCAGCCTCACAGGGACTCGTCCGGGAGGGGGGATTGCCAGGGAGAGCTCCTTCTTCACATTTGTTTTAAGTTGAATGAAATTGGTATTTTGATATAATGAAACTGCCCTTTATAAAATTCATAAGGTCCACAAGGTGGGAACTATGGTAGGGGTCTGCAGTCTGCAAAGGTCTGGGCATAGTGTATGTGTGTGTGTGTTTGTGTATGTGCGTGTTTATGTGCGTGTGTTTGTCTGTGTGTGTGTTTGTGTGTGTGTTTGCAGTTTGGGGCCAGGGCTGGGTTTGAACCCACCACCTCTGGCATGTGGGGCCAGTGCCCTACTCCTTTGAGTCACAGGCGCCACCTTGTGTATGTGTGTGTTTGTGTGTGCATGTTTGTGTGTGTCTGTGTGTGTTTGTGTGTATTTGTGTGTGTGTCTGTGTATGTGTTTGTGTGTACTTCTGTGTGTGTCTGTGTGTGCGTGAACTGCAATACTCAAGTCATGTTAGACTTCTGCAATTATAAGACATACAGGATGCAATATGCAAAGTAACAAACGATATCAGTATATACTGAGTATTACCATTTAATACAATTTCTTCCTTCCTTAAAATGTGCATACATTTTTGGCACCCTCCATATATTGCAGCAGAACCTCCATAGTTGGCCACTTCCTTAAATGGGCCTAATTTTCACAGACCAGACATGCTACCAGCATAGCGGTCTAGTTCCTCATGTTGACAAGTTTCTTCCGGTCCTGTCTGTGGCCACCTCACAGAGGTTTTACTATGCGTGTGTGCACACACGCACACACACACAACCAGCCATTATCCCCAAACTGCTTTCCTAGAATTGCTCCTCAGAAGTCACGTAGCAATGACCATAAAGTTTCTTAATTTTCCTAATTATTCCCACAGATACTATCACCCTCGTGAAAACTAAGGCCCTGCACTCCAGGAGGTCAGCTGACCCACCCAGATCAGCAGCCCACACCAAGGAACCGATTCATCCAGGAACTGACTTAGCAGAAGATAGTTTCTGCACCCTGGGATTCTACCCCAAGCCCAGTCAATCAGCTGAACAAACTGCCTAGCCCTTTACCCACCAAACTATCTTTAAAATCTTTCTCCCAAATTGTTGGGGGGATGGATTTGAGAACCTCCTCCCACCCCCTTGCACGGTGCCTGTGGAACTAATCTCTTTCTCTGCTGCAGCCTCTGCTGTCTCAGTGTACTGGCTTCCTCTTGGGTTGTGGGCAGTAAACCTGGTAGGGCTGTAACAACAACAGAAGTGCCTGAATTTCCAGCATTCTCAAGCATTTCAAATAACTGGGCCCATGCCACTTCCTGATAAAGTCACCCTTCTCAGTTGGGTGGTGAGTCTTTGAATTCAGCTGGCAACTCGGGACTAGAAAATGTGGAGGCTCCCTTAGTGTTCTAAGCGTCCGAGATCCTGGTGACAGTAGTCCAGTGATCCCCTCAGTGTCCTTGGAAGCATGGTGGTATTTTACAGCCACATGGGGGCAGCTCCCAGCTCCCTATGAGCTGACCAGGGAAGGGATGAGATTGCCTGTGAGATAAAAGTTATTTAGGAATTAGAAGGAAGGTATAAACTGCAGCTCATGACCTGGAGTCAGCATTCTCCCCTTGGGTGTTGAGGGCTGTGTCCACCCAACCCATG